GGCCCCAGGGCGATCTAGCAGGGGGACCGGGGAAGCAGCCCCATTGGGCTGCCTCCTGCCCCTGGTGCAATCAAGCGCGGGGGACGGGAAAGCAGTCCAGTGGGGCTACCTCCCACCCCTGATGTGATGAAGCGCAGGGGTCGGGGAAGCAGCCCTCCTGGGCTGCCTCCCACCCCTGGCACAATGAAGCATGGGGGTTGGGGAAGCAGCCCCACTGGGCTGCCTCCTGCCCCCCGCATGATCTAGCATGAGGCACTGGGAAACAGTCCCACTGGGCTGCCTCCTGCCCCTGATGCGATCAAGCACGGGGGATGGGAAAGAAGCCCAGTGGGGCTGCCTCCCACCCCTGACACGATGAAGCACGGGGGTCGGGAAAGCAGCCCCACTGGGCTGCCTCCCAGTGTGATCTAGCATGGGGGATGGGGAAGCAGCCCAGTGGGGCTGCCTCCCATCCCCAGCACGATCAAGTGTGGGGGAGTTAGGGAAGCAGCCCAGCTGGGCTGCTTCCCACCCTGGTGCAATCTAGCGCGGGGCACCAGGAAGCAGCCCCCTGCTGGAGCTTGCGCTGGTGATGGGAAATCAGGCCAGCTAGACTAGATTCCCATCCCCAGCCTATGGTCGAAACGTTTTGACTTGCAAAATGTTTTGATCAGCCTCGTTGTGTTTCAAGGCTATTTCAACAGCCTTTGTTTCATTCTGATTTTCCCGTCTTGACCTCAAAATTGGTCAAAACTGTGTCAGAACGAAATGGCCGGAGAAATTTCCTCAGCCCTAGTTAATACCTTAATGCGCTGGCTTCAGCCAGCCTGACCTTATCTGTTAGCTCAGGAGGCGATTTGTTTTGGCCCATTTGCCCAGATGGATTCCCATCAAGGAGTCTTTCCTTTAGGCCAGGAGAAGAAAAATAAAGGGCCTGTTTATATATTATATATATGTCTGCAAGTCAACTTTGCAGAATTCACTGGAAGGCAATTAGGCCAAAAGGCTTTAAGAATTAGAAACCATTGGAACAGTAAGTGAGAGATTTCTACTAAGCCATTAGGTTCAGAAATATCATGCTCAAGAGGAGGAAAAAATTTCAGTATAATAGAGTTTCAGCATCTTATGTAAAATATGCAGCTCCTTCTTGATTTCCTTTTTCCTGTCTGACAAAAGCCATTAAAAGTGTGTCATTCCTCCTATTTCAGAAATACCTGGAAGTCAGTCAGGATCAACACTGAGACTGCAGGGATTTCATTGAGCTTGGATTATTTGTTTGAAATTAATCTGCCATTCACCTGAAAAACTTCACACCAACAATCTAGAAAAGAAGGGAGCATGCCGTTTACCTGAGCTAATGATGAATCTAAACCAGCCCTGACAAAGTGGAAGGCAAGCCATCGATATCTTATTGAACTGATATTAAGAGAAAGAAGCATGACTCTCAGGGTTAAAAGCATAGAACAACCTTCATTGTATTCAGATGTATTTGAATGCATGGAATTCTTTACACACACTATTCAAAATAAGTTCTGCCAAAACAAAGCCAGCAAACTCACGTTAAATTCAAACTCAGCAGGGGAGCATGTGTATGTGATGGAGGGGGGAAGAATTAAAATAAGAAAACCAATTTCACTGTTATGCTTCCAAAGGGGGAAGACAATAATGACTTTTAAATGGTCTTCAGAGGTTTTAAACATACTTTGACAATGCGTATTTCTGTGCCTCAAATATATTTATGTCTGTTGATTTGTTCTATTTAAATAAAACATACAGGACGGAAGTATAATTGTCCACTGACTCCCATTCTTTCAGTGCTGGTGACTATAGCAATTACCAACAGCAACCAAAGGAAGCACAATTTGAAATACAATGTGTTTCTCTTCTCAGACTGAATTTTAATATCTTATCCTCAGTATTTCTTTACTGGATTTTTGTTTCAATAAATCAGTAAGGCAACGAAACTGTGGTTCAACAATGCCGCTTGCCATCAATCACCCTACTGGTATAAGAAGAATGAAGGTGGTTTTATGATACCTTTGTAAATTTTATAAATCATTATGTTTTCTGCACACCCCACACCCTTATTTTTCTGCCAGTCTACAGGAGTTCAGAGACCTTTGGGGTTGTCTGCTGTAGGACTGTGCATTGTTGGAGAAGTGAGCTTCAGTCTTCGCATGTTGGTTTGCGGTACTAACACCTGTCAATTGTGTATTTGTATATTCAGTGTGAAGAGATGCAATTATTAGAAAATAAAACTTTGGAGACACAACTGTGAAGGGGTGTATCGAATAAACTGACCAATATGAAATAACTAGGTGTAGGAATGATATGCTATGGTTTCTTTCACTTGTGCAAGAAGGTTTCATGCAAGTCGTGAGCACCACCAGTGGATCGGCTTGGGATTTGGGCATGTCACTTCAGTTCAGGAGAAAGAAATTCCCATCCCCAAATTCCATGCGTGAACAAGACTCATGGTTTACAGTTAAAAAAAGAAAGAAAAAAAGGCAATCAAAAGATATATTGGCCTTTAAATATAAAAGCAGCTTTAGAGTAGCTCTGGAATATGTTATATAATTAAGTCTAATTATATGCAACTTAGAAGGCATCAAAGATGGTCCAGCATCTTCAGGCTTGAAAGTCTCCAACTGAGTCAAAGCCATGTTTTTGTGAACTAGTCTATTATAAAAAAGCCCTCCTTCCTGCTTTCATACTTACAATTTATCTGATCAAATAATTGCCTTCTTTTCAGGGGCTTATGATTAGTATTAGGATCCACCTCCAGTGTCATTTGTCAGTACTTTTCTAATGTAAGGGCAAAAGGAGACTTAATTAAAGAAGACAATAATGAGTAATCAAGCTGCAAAGAAAGACTGTTTGAAAGCAGGGAGATCAAAAAACAGACTCACTGTGATCATTATTGTGATCCATCATCACAGCTGCGGAACAGTTTGCTTAAAAGAATATAGGCATATCTTGAGTTAAAAATTAGAAATTAGGGCCTTCTCCAACATCCATTGCAGTCACTGGGAAATCAATGGCCTTCAGATTATCCTTTTGGTGGCAGTCAGACATGAAGAGAGCAATATAAAGATAGTTCCTGGTTTGAACCAGGGGTGGGGGAAACCTGAAGGAGTCTGGCTAACCCAAATATGTCCAAATCCAAGCTGTGTGGATAGAGTGTTTGGGTCCATCTTTCCAGATGTGAGTGAGAAAGGCCTAGTGCCCGACATCCTAGGTTTAAACAATGTCAGTACAGATAACAGCAATTCAAGGCTCTCTTATTAGATTCTTCCAGCCAATATGCCTCCAGCCCCCTGCTACTTGGAGAAATGTTTGGGCTCAATGGTTCTCCAGCCTCTCAGCTACCAAGATGCAAGCGGTTACAATGATGGCAGGAGGGAAGGGGTCATTTGGCCTGTGGTTGTCCAGATGGGTCTAGAAATTTGGCAGCCAGGGAGTGATGGCAGGATCCCACCTGCAGTGTTAATTAGCAGTGTTCATTGTTGGGGCTCTGGGAGAGATGGCAAGTAATGCTACTTCTGCTGTCCTTCAGCCAAAGTTGCAGATCCTTGGAGTGCTGTGCATGTCGGATGATGTGGCCTTAAGTGCCAAATTGTGAGAGTCTGCGGGGTCCAGCCATGATTGGATTAAGCATGCAGAGCCAGGCTGGCATTTGATCTGCGGCTGGATCCAGCTGGATGCTCTGTGGCTGGAGTACGGTCGGGCTGGCATGCACGGTCACACCAGCGCACCAACCCTATATGCCAATCCTGCGCTGGATCAGGTCCATGGACTAGCCCCATGCCACTGCCCTTAGGTCCAGATAGGTTGAACACCACTGCTATAAACTGTTCAATAGCCCTTGGGTGGTAACCCTTGTAGCCCCTGCTAGCTCTGAACCAGACCAGAACATCCTTAGCCCCTTAAAGCTGTAACATGTAGTAACAGTTCCTTCAATCTAAGGCACAAGGTGGATCTCGGCAAACCCCACAGACTGCTTGCACACGCTTTCCTTTACTCCCACAAAACGTGAAGGATTTGATATGGTTAAAAGGAGCTGAATAGTGTCTCCCAAAGGAGCTGGACTTCCTCAGGTACTGCTATGAACTGGTGAGACCTTAGTGAAAATCCATTTTAGTGGCTCAGATTTTGTGAAGATGAGTTCATACTCAAATATACAAATCTATTCGCTCTCTTCCTCAGAATAAAAAGGTCTTTGAGGCACCAGCCTATAAAGTTTGATTCAATATCATTAACTTTACATTTGTAGAGAAATCAATTAAAGATGCCTGGATGGCAGTCTTCATCGTTGCCAGGAATTAAACAAAAGACCTTTAGAGCAACGAGCATGAGGTGCTCTGGCTTGAGCTAAAGAAGAGTTAGCTGGGGCTGGAACAGACTAATTTCCTGCATTGATCAGGTGGAGGGAGATCTAACACACTCATTTCCGGGTTACTCCTGCAGATCTCAGGTGTCGCTACCGAAGCCTTTCCTTCTACATTAGTTCATATCTAGCTTAGGTCAACAAAACTGCGTTTGCCCAATATCCATTGTAAGACCTAGTTGAAATAAAACAATGGTCTGCCTGTTTCCTAGCACAGACTAATCCCCTGGGAAACGTTTTGTGTACATATCAGTAGCTGCGATAGAAAGGTGCCAACCGATGTTAGTCAAGGATATGTAGTATAATTAACGTGCAATGCAAATGGCTTCTGTTTGCTCAGGTTGTAACAACTCCACAAAATTAAAAAGCTGATGCATGCAAATACAATGACTTTTGTCTGTACTGTACCTTCAAATCTCTATGTGCCATTTTCTGAGGCACCACTGATGTGGCAGGTGATGGAGTAGACACGCTGCGCACTTTCCCTGAAACATCTAGAGAAACTTTTCTGCTGGGGAAATCTATCCAGGGCCGTTCACAGGAGCCAACTGAACTAGAGCATCATAAATAACACACATTTGTCTAAGAGACGAAGAACGCAAATAAATGATTAATGCTTCTCTCCGTGTTTACAGAATGCAGCTAACTCAGACCAAATCCCCCAATCAGCAGGAGAAAGGTTGTTGTAGTCGAGGAGTAGGAACATGAATGCATCACACCATGGTAACACAGCCCTCAGGCAGAAAACCAGGAGGCCAGAGATGCACATCTGGACTGGGCTAGCACTTTATTTGTCACAGAAAAGCTTTGATTAAGATGCTTTGTTACTCAGAGGGGCTGCCCTGAATGGAAGGGGAGCAACAGAAGAGACCCTCTCCAACTTTGTGTCTGCTCTTTGTCTCATGTTTTAGGTTTAGCTCCTTCGATCTCTCCCTCCCTCTCATTTCCTATCCTGATCCCTCACCTCACCAGCTGTTAACAACCCACCTGGGTCTCAGCACACCAGACTTCAGAAGAGATCATGGATTGGAAACTCAGCCTGATTCTGATTTTCCCCATTAGCTCAGTGTCTTTCACAATACGGGGATGGTCTACAAGGCTCTGAAATCACCCTCCTCTCACCCCTTACACTGAAGTTTCAAGTTGATTCACTGCGCTGCTGCTGTTTAGTGTTGCTGTCCCTTGCGAAGCATCTTCCAGTTCCACTCCAATGCTAGGTGGAGCGATTCTGTTTTTTGCCTAATTTATAGCAACCTCAGGAGGTATCATTAAAATGTATAAAGCATTTGCGATGCTCACATGAAATAGAGGGTGAAAGAAATTCTCCACCAAAATAAATAAGTAAATAAGCCTTTGCAAGATCTGAAGGGTGTATGCGAGTTGGGGTTGAAGGCACGACCCCTTGTCCCTCCTTAGCTTCCTTATAATGACACAACTCCTAAGAGGAATTGGACAACAATGATTGGATTGCTACATTGCACTAGCATTGCACGCAAAGGATGGGGAGTTTCCAGCCAAGGAGACTGAGAAACATCACTTACCCTTATAAAAAAGAACATTAGAGGTGGGCAGAAAACACTTTTCAGGTTTAATCTACAAAGTAGAAAGAAATCGGAGGGAAAGAAAATGTGCGTGCTTGTGCCCATTTCTGCTCTTCTGCACTGGAAGGGAGAGAAGTAGTCATCCAGAGTGTAGATCTGACTAATGGGAAGTGATTTAATGGCATATGGCAATATTCAGTGAGTGACCCGAGGCAGACTCTGAGCACGGAAGCACGGCAGAGCTGCACCATCAGAGCTCCCTTCTATTTCTCATAGGAAGGACTGCAAACGTGTGAGGCTTATCTTCCCACAACAGGGAGCAAATCCCCTGCCATGCGACTAAAATACAGCTCCTAGCCCTAAATGTGGAGTCCAGGGTATAAAGCAGCTGCTGGTGAGAAACTAACTTACAGCTATTTTCTTTTTTTTTTTCTTGATAGTTTTAAGTCAGTCTGGGAAGGCCAGTAGATGCCAAAGCAAGACTCTCAGAGACAGTTTTCTGCAGCCATTCCCAA